AAAAAAAAAAAAAAAAAAACATTGATCCTCACCTTGACACCTTGCCGCTAAGGCCACCAACCCATATCCAACAAACAACTTTGTGAAAGCCTTAGACTACATAAAACCAAGTACAAATACATTTGATAACCATTTAGTTTTCATCTTTCTTAAGAAAATGTTTGAATTTCCCGTTAGATTTCAAAAATAAAAAACAAGTTTTAAAATTTACTTTTTTAGCTTTCCAAACTTGACTTTGAACTTTAAAAACATTTGTAAAATGTAGATAACAAATAAAAATTACATATAAATGGACAAAGTGTTTATAAATTTAATTAAAACAATAACATATTTATCAAACAAGGATAGAAATGAGCTAAATGATTCTAAGAACACTAAATGAGCTTGAAAATATTTTTACAAGCTTAAACTAGTCTAACGAATCTAATAAACTATATTTAAAATATACAAAAAAAGATAATAATTAAAAAAATATTTAAATACAAAAAGTAGGGGGGTGGGTGGGTGAGGGGACCATGTAAGTATGCTGGCTTCTAAAGCACTCGTATCAAAATTGACATCTGGGATGTAACGATCAAAACCCTTTTCAAAATTTTGAACCTTTTAAATTCAACGCAATATCTCTTGAATCTTTTTATTTCAAATCTCAACTGAATAAGGCCAAAAATCAGTCTAAATACTTCCCGTTGAAAATATAAAAAGAAAGAAACAAATAAAATGGCATCTTTCTCTCTAATTCCGGATGAGCATACATAAATATTGTTTTTTTTAAAAAAAAAAGTAACAAACAGCTAAAAAAGTATCTCTTGGATCAAAATTCGGAGAAAATGCTATATTGGCTAGTATGTATTACCTTTTATGATGACCCACATTGGTTGGGGAGGAGAACAAATCACCCTTTATAAGAGTGTGGAAACCTTCCCCTAGCAGATGCGTTTTAAAGCCTCGAGGGGAAGCCCAAAAAGAAAATCCCAAAGAGAACAATATTCGCTAGCGGTGGATCTGGGTCGTTGCACCTTTTCTCCTAATAAATCTTATGCCGCAACAACTTTCCTAGCCATTGTAGGTACGATCAAAGCTTGGAGACCAATAAGGCCAAAATAAGTCCCTGCATAAGATTTATTAGTTACATTGGGAAATATTAAGAGCCAGTAACATAATTTTGACAACAAAAATTCACATAAAAATCCATATCATTTCCATTACTATCAGAGGTTTTGAGTGAGGTGAGGGGCAGGGGAGGAGGTTATGGAGGATCTCCATCTAGCATTTTTTTTTTTTTTTCAAAAGACATTAAATAAACATTCTATGATAAGAAGGCACACAAAAATGTGATACTAACTGTATCATCTAACAGCGACAAGAACCTAGTATACACACAGCAAAAGGCTAATTGTCCATCCATACTTCATTCTAATCCATATACTGTAAAGATTGAAGTCCAAGGCGATTTAATCCAGATTGACAGAACTTTTCAAAAAGAGGATATTTGTCAACAGATTTGGACTGTTCACATTGCATACTCCCATTTTCAGAAATAATAAGAGAAAAGGCATTGTTGCTGATTGGCAACCCACGAATATGATCTGGAGTATATTTTCAGGGTAACAAAATAAATGAGAATTGTTACTTGAACACTTTACTGGTCAAAGAAACAGTTAAAATTGCATCATCAGTAGTATTTTATCTATGAACGCTTTGAAGCTATGTTCCACAGCCCATTAACCCTCTTATCATCTTCCATTCCAGCACAAGATACTAGGCCCAAACAGAATGTCGTTGATTAACAGAAAGCTAGGACACTCTAGTCTTTACTACCTCGTACCTTATTGTGATGCCTCAAGCTTATCTTCATGACACTGCGAGGATATTGTAGCCTCCCTTTTCTTTTGTCGTCTCAAAGCCTTCCCTTGACACCCAACAGATAGGCAAGTTGCTACAACTTCTGGATAATATTTATAGAAAACCTTCACAAAAAAGAAGAAGAAGAAAGGAACACTTTAAGAAAGAAAAGGCATAACAGATCTACAGATTAAGTACTATTTCAAAACATGCTTGAAGCTAAATGCAAATTATAATTAAACTAAGTTACATTATGAAGCCTAATGAGATAAAAATAAAAACAAAAATGTCATAGTACAAGTACTAATGACTGCTTTTTCTTCCTTGCACTCTACAAAAGTAGAGGTTTAGATTGTGGAATATAGTAATATAGTACCTGTGGTGTCCCACATTGGTTGGGGAGGAGAACAAAACACCCTTTATAAGGGTATGAAAACCTTCTCCTAGGAGACGCGTTTTAAAGCCTTGAGGGGAAGCCCGAAAGGGAAAGCCCAAAGAGGACAACATCTGCTAGCGGTGGATCTGGGCCGTTACAGTACTTTTGTTGTTAAATCCTGTCCTGAAATGAGAAGATACAATAACAATATGATAGAAACTGATGTCCATCACCTTTTCATTTTTTTCTTATAAAACAACCTACTTCCTGGGAAAAATACAGTATCCTAAAAGCCATCATACATGCAACTTAGAATTGCTGCAAAAACATATTTCTCTGGCGAGATTTAAAGTTCAATAGGTGGAGCCACCAAATTTGTAATACATTATTTTTTTTCTAGGTTCTTCTTTTCATATTTTATTGGAAATCAAAATTTCTGACCAGTTTGGCTTCTCAGAGCCATTGCGTAAACTTTTATGATCATCCGAATTTAAGAAAGAAGATTCCAGTTTTCCCTTTACCCATCCCTTTTTTCCCAATTCAATGTTCTTATTAAAATTTTGGTGAATTAAAAATCACCAAAATGTTAATTTCTACCTTCCTTGCATTTTTAAAATGCATATACCTGACACATCTTCATACGAAGAGTAACTTAATATCATGTTATTCTATCCTAAGCATTATCACTGAAAGATCACCACAAGCATCTGACCAGCAAAAAATAATGAAGGCTCTTTGTCTGAACTGCACAAACACTTCGACTCCAGCCGTTTGGTTTTCTCTTTTTCGTCGTTGCCAGGCACACTTTTCTCCTCAACATGATCGCCTTGTAGTGATATGCTGGCAAGGATTTTAATGCATCAACGGACAACACATGGAATCTCATTTTTTCAGACCGATATCAGAAATTTCTGACATTTTTTCATCTTAATGAATCTGAGTCTTTATTGTTTCAGGAATGCAGGAATTTGGCTGATAATGGCTGGAATCTCAGGTTTACAAGACAGCTCAATGAAAAATAACTTTCTGACTAGAGTCTCTCATCTTCTTGAAAATGTTCTGCTCGTTAATGAAAGAAATATGGCCAGAGCTGGAATTCTGATGGCCTCTTTACACCTAAATCTCACTTTCTTTCTATAGCATGGTAGTGGCTCTCCCTCGAACTAGAAGAAGTTCTTAAATGTTCTTTGGAGGACATAAGTGCCCAAAAAGATGAAATTTTTAGCTTGGCTAGATCAAGGAGGTTTGAATACTGCAAACAACGTTCCAGAAAAGGAACGGGTTCTTCTTTATCCAAGGCTGCACAAGTCAGGGAAGTTTTTAGATCTACTAAAAAAGATGCCTTCCTCCCAAATATCCAATTTGTAATATATAAACCGCAGAGGATAATGGATATTACGCCATTTTCAAGTGTATGTTTCTTATCTTGCTATAGGAAGAAAATCTATCTAATCAAGCAAAATCCATCAACTAAGCATAAATGATCTGTATATCATAAAAGCAATACCATCTGCAAGTCTGCTTGTTCACGTTGAAATGCAACAGATCTTGAACTACCGATAAATTTCTTTAGCGAATCTGGCCAATATTCCTGAATGATTTTGTCAGATCAGAAAATCAGAAAATTAGTTTTCACTACATTAGAGTATGTGCCCTCGTAACAAGAAACAAAATAGAAAGCTCTATCACATAATTTCTTAAATTCCTTAAATGGATTAAACTATCAGCAAAATTCCAAACAAAACACTCCCTAGTGGCCAATGCTGAGAACAGTCAACAACTCCGATACTTCTCAGCAACTACTTCAGGGTCAATGATGCATTTCGGAAATACATTATGACACGTAGTGGCACATAGATGGCAATCATCAGCATTTTTTTACGCTAGCCATATTTCATTTCTGAGTTCTTGCCATTTAATAACTTTTAGTTTTATTTAATAAAATTAGTCAAAGACATCATATGTGCACCGAAGACTGTACCAATATTTAACAAGAAATCTATGGAGTTAGTGGATACCACGCCTAGATATGGAGTTAGTGGATGAAAATAATCAGCGTCCTTATTTTTAAATCCATGTAATCAATCGATAACTAATTGATATGCTCAGGATGCAAACACACGAGGTTAGACAGAAATCTTTATGGCATCTGTTATATAATAATAATAATAGTAATAGTAATAATAAAGTCCAATCCCTTACATATTGATTTTCCCAGAAATTGAAACTGAATTTCTTCAAAGCAATCTGTCAATGTACAGTGTCAGCATTCTTCCGAAGAATTAGCTGTCCAACAACGTAATATCTTAGAGAATACCTAATTTAAAAACAATATAACATTATAACTAATGATCGATCTCATTTCCATGAATATTTCTCAAATACTCTACAAAAACAAATCAATATTTGATATATGTTATACTTAGATCCAGGTAATCAAACAATTACGTAAAAATTGACATGTATCTAGAGAATTACGTCATATAAGAATATCCAAAAATACTTATAATGGGTCAACGAGAGAGCATAATTAACAATTCAGTCGAATACTTCCTGCGAACTTTTGTCGTGGATGAATGGCTTACAAGTGAGTTCGACAAATATAGCTTCTAAACAAAGTTATAAAAGTCCAAAAACGAGCTAATGGAAATAAAATCCAAGTCAAACAATCTTCTTCAATCAAAGACGCACCTAGACAACTCCAGAAGGAATTAGGTGCAGATTTTTCGCAGGTTCCCTGCGCAACCACTCCATCCATTCCTTATCAACAGCTTCCCACAGTGTATCCCGGAAGAGCGAATGGAAGCAGTAGCGTAATGGATATCACAAGAGAACATCCACGAGTGAAAAGAAAAAAATCAAAATCAAAATCAAATAAGCAGATATCAAAACCTGCGCGAATGAAGAATGAAATCAACAAACCTTGAAGAATTAACGACAGAAATATTGATCAAGAACGAGTAAGGTTTGGCAAACTCGGCGGTAGCGTATATATACATTTACGAGTTGGGCCCAAACGACATCGTCTAACGTCTTATATATTTGACAAGTAAATTTTATGAAAATAGTCTTGAAAAATAAAATAATTGTAAAATTAGCACATTTACACACATTGTTAATAGTTTAGGGTCTAATTAAATATTTAAAAATAAATTATTTATTCTAAAATATTTACTATTACAATATTATTTATTTCTTTTAAAAGGAATATACATTATTTATTTTAAACCTAATAAATTGGTAAAAATACCATATAATTGGTCAGATTCTCCTTACTCGCTAAACAGCTTCCCCATTCCCACCCAATTCTCATCAAACCAATTTTATTTTTTATTTATAAAATATTATTAAAATTATTGAAATTTGAGTTTTTAGATATAAAATATTATTATGATGTTACCATTTTTAATAGTAATTATATTAGAAAATTAAAATTATTCCTTCATTTTTTTTAACTTAATAATTTAAAAGTATATATATATATATATAATCAATTTTTTTAATTTATAATTTCTTTTTTTACAATCACATTTTTACAACTTTCTTCAACTTATTATACTTTATTTTCATTAATAAATTCAAAATTTGTGAAATTAAAATTAATATAATAAATTATCAGAATTTATAAATATTATCACTTACATATTACAATCTCTAACAACAAAATTGGATTTTTTTAAAATTATTATATTAATTATTTAATTATTTTTTATTTTATAAAGAAAATTTGAAATAGAATGGTGTATATATTCGTATAAATTAAATTATAAAATAAAAAATATTACGATATAATATCTAAGATATATTATTAAAATATTATATTTTGTCATATGGAACATAAGAGTCATAAGGGTACAAATAAAAAAATACATAATAATAATTAACAAAGAGGTATACGGTGGGTGGAATTGGAACGTGGCAATTGGAAAGAGTGGAAACGTGGAACGCAAGAAATGGAAAAGGAATTCACACGTGCGGAGGAGAAACGTGCCGCACGCACCAACTTTCTAATCACATCTACGCCTGGTCAAAATTAAAAAAATGTATCTTTGAATAATTTATCGGTAGGGGACTTCGGTGCCTAACTTCTTCTTCTACACCCTACTTTTCCCCACCCTCCAAAAAAAAAAAAAAAAAAGCCATTAATTCCCGCCGCCGCGCCGGAGTCACTCCGATCGAGGATTCTGAGCCGTCGGCGAAGACCCATCAAACAGCCCCGTGTAATTAACATTGCTATCATTACTCCTCAACCCCCCACCCTGTTGAAAAAACGTCTCACTCGCCGCTGAATTCCCCAACGAGAACATAAACGGCTGTTGCTGCAGCGGCGCCGGCGGTGGAGCTTGGTTTTGGAATTGGAATACCGGCGGAGCGTTGAGGTTGTAGGCGGCGACGGAGGGGTCGAAAACGGCGTTGGAGTTACTGGAGAAGCCAAATGTGGAAAAATTGGAAGCGTTGTTAGATGGACCACCGGTGAACTGCTGGACCATGGCTCGGAAATTGGCCGCGTCCGTGTTGAATAAAGTGGTTGGAGTCCGTCGAGAGGCTCTGGTCCGCTTGCGAACCGGCTTCGAGACTCTGCCCCCATCTGGGATCAAACCGGACGAGGTCGGTAGCGTTGTGGCGGAGGAGACGGCGGCGGTGACGACGGTGGAATCAGAAACAACCCCGGAATTATCGTCGTTATTGACCTGATGGTGGTCGGAAAGGTTGAAGGAGAGTTGTTGATTGTTTGAGAGGTTGTCTTGGTGATACATGTGAATCCATTGATCAGCCATTTGGAAGCAAGAAAGTGGGTGAATTAGAAGGGTGGTTTTGGTATATATAGATTCTTTGGGGGTATGTGGGTGTAATTTTCAAAGTTTAGAGGGGGCAGTTAGCAATTATTTTTTAAATATTTATTAATCGAAATAAATTAACAATTTCTAAAATTAAATTATTTAAAAGACAAAAACACTAAAATGATAATATAAACTCTTTTTTTATTTTTATGGATGTCACGTGAGACACGTGGAGGGGAGAATTAAAATGTAGTTTTGCTGTTGCCACTGTGGACTGCATGCTTCCTCGAAGCTTGCATTAAGGGAAATAAACGACCGATTAATCAAAATTAAATTCCAAAAATAAAATAATTTAATTTAATTACTTTTAAATAAACTATTTTGAAAAAATATCGTAACTTTCCACAATATTGTCCACTCTGAGTATAAGTTCACTTTTTCTTTTGAAGTCTTAGTCATTTCTTACTATGTTTTCGAGGCTCACAGTACTTTTGTTCGACATTTAAAGATTCTATTGACATGACTAAGTTTCCATTGTGAAACTTTCATCCAACCCTGAGATTATTAAAATAATTTAATTTACTTAGGAATAATATACCTTTATATATTAATTGTAGTTAATTAGTAAATTTTAAAAATTAAATATAATTTATATGAAACGAGTCACTAATTAAACATAATTAATTCCTTTTTGTTATAATAAAAAAAATGATAATAAATAAGAGATAAAAAAAGCATGATTAAAATTGAGTAATATTGAAAAGATGAAGTCAAATTTACCTCTAAGCACATATTTCAAACTTGTATATTTAATTATATGATTAAAATCAAAGATCTCCAAAAGATTGTTCATAAATGTTGAAAATTCAGCCAAATATAACCCAATTAAACAAAAAAAGAATATATATATATATATATAATTTTACTTTTACTTTTCAATTACTTTACAAAAATGGAAAAAATGAGTTATTTTTATTTACCTTTATCTTTAGTATTATAATTTACGAGACGTGACACACACTTTTCGCCTGTATATTAACGATAATATTTTTTAATTTTTTTTCTTTATAAAGGTAAAATTTGTTAATGTTACTTTTAAAAGTATGGATAATTTTTAAATAGTAAATATATTTTTTATTATTTTTTTAAAGTTATTTTACGTATTTTTTATAATTTATTTTTTTGAAACACATATTAACAAAATTAAAGATAAAATTATTAGTTTGGGAGAAACGACCAAAGTTATTAATATTTTTATTAATTTAGTTTACGTTCAAAAAAAAAAAGAAAGAAAGAAAGAAAGAAATGATAAGATTTCTAAATTTTTATTAATATGAGAGAGAAAATATGATTTTTTTTTTTTTTTCTTCTAAAAAACATTAATGTTTTAAGAACTTAGATGTGGATAGCATGAATTTCTTCAAACCAAACCAAGCAAGAATTTCCCAATTTTAATATTTTGAAATTAATAATTATATTAATTTAAATTTTAAACTTTCTTAATTATTTAATTTTGACAACCCCACTTATTTATTACTATTTTCATTCTATTTAATTTAAATTATATTAAAAATACCTTAAAAAACAATTAATGTTAAATGAAAAATATTGACGTTTTTTTTACGTTTTGTATCTGAGTTTTTTTTAGTTCAACAATATATATAAAGTTAGAGATTCATACCGTTAAATTATTGGTCAACGATATAATGTATTAACAAGTAGCATTATGCTATTTCCAAATCTAAACTCTCCCGAAAAAAAAAAAATTGTTCATCAACATCGTTGCAATGTTTTAAATATTGTTTCCATTCTTCCACATTGTATATCGAACCGACTCGATTACACCCTTAATTTCATTGAGCTTCCACATCTCATTAAAATTCCTTTTTATTTAAGGAGTATCTTTCATTTTCAAGTCGTGTATGCTTGTAACTCTCTCTAATCAAACACTCCTTAAGTGTGTCTCGATAAACCTTTAGATATATATATATATATATATATTTCGCATGTGCTTATGGACGCTTTCTCCATCAACCATCTTTCACCGCTTGGAGAGAATTAAAAAAATAATAACAAAAAGACGAGAAAAAAAAAAAAGTCAAATAAGAACAAAATAAAAAAGAAAAAGAAATAAAAGTTGGTATTAAACATAAAGAAATTCGCACTGATTGATTTTTTTTTTTTTTTTTTTTTTTTTTTTTTTTT